TTGTGTTTGAGATTTTATGATTGTATTTGCGTATATCAAATTGGTGTATATGTATTTACTTGCCGCTAGAGTTCTTAGTGTTTACACTGTGATTCTAGGTCTCCAAGAATTTAGTGTGTTTCTGCAAATACAAGCTAAAAAAATTTAATTTTTCGTGAATGCTTAATTCATGGCTTTGTTTAATCATGGCATTTTCTGTAGGATGGTTATGCAGTTATTGCTTCAGATGGGCCTGGTGAATACCCTGTAATTACAGAATCAAGAGCTGGAAATGATGGACTTGGTGTAACTGTGACTTCAGGAACTGTTGCATATGTAACAACTGGAGGTTAGTTCATTCACTTAGTATTTCATATTTAGGCTTCCAAGGATTGATTTATTAGAACCTTTTTAGGATAAGAAGTGCTGGTCTCTTTTATATAGTAGTTGGGATTGTTGAGGTGGTTCAGGGATTTTAAATTATTTCACTGTGTAATCTGTAGAACTGGAGCTACATTAAGGTTTTTTTTTTTTTTTTTGGGGGGGGGGGGGGGGTTGCAAATTTGGATATTCAACAATTTGTAGATGGAAATTTACCTGTATGTTTGGCATTTTGAACTTCTAACCTTTCAATGAGCTTAAAAAAGGAAAAGAAACTTTATCAGATTGAACGATGACGAGTAAGAAGTCTGCTTGATATGTTCCAGCCAGAATTGGTGTTTTAACTGACACTCCAGAATAAGAAGGGAATCTTTTCCATGTTTTTTTTTCTTGAGAACCTTCTGTGTTGCTATTGAAATATTGGATGCTTATATGTAAGCTTTAGGAAAATGAAATTTTTTTGCATTTTCTTAAACAGTTTGCTTAGTTGACCTTTCTTTCATTTTGGCCATAATTTCTTAGGACCCATCCCCGATGGTGCTGATTCAGTTGTTCAAGTTGAGGACACTGAAGAAATTGTAGATGCTTCAGGCAAAACTAAGCTAGTAAGAATATTGGTGCAAACTAGCAAAGGTGTTGATATCCGTCCAGTGGTATGATTTCATTGCTCTCTCATATTTCTTTGTGGAATACATCTTAGTCTCTTAAAGCAGCAATATTGTAAAACTTGTGAAAACTATTTTTGCCGTGCTCTTACCAGGCCAGTTGTTACTGTGCACATTCCAATTCCTTTCATCTTGATAGATTTGTAGCTACTGTGGTATTTCAAAGCTATGACAGTCAATGCAAAAGCTATTCTGCATACTATTTGAATGGATTCTTTTAGAATCCACATATGTTATTTGTGGTTCTAGATCATTTTCTGGACTGGATTTTGGTCTTCACTTTTGCATCATCTATGACTCTTGCATTTTTGTTATGTTGCTTGCAAATAGTCACATGAACACAAGCTCCTGATACCTGTGGCAAAAGAATTATATTAAGTTTCTTTCTAGGGTGAAATTAAACAAACTTCAGATGCCATATTCTCTAGCTTAACTAATAAGAAATGCCAGCTAGTCATGCTATGGCATATTGTCTATATTATGCACAGTCTATAGTTGTCTCCTCTATGATCCTTATGGTTGTTATCCTCTTCTGTGTACAAATACCACTTTGCAGGGATGCGATATTGAGAAAGATGCCACTGTAGTAAAATCTGGAGAAAGAGTAGGCGCTTCAAAATTGGCCTTCTAGCTACTGCTGGTGTAATGTCAGTGAAGGTATAAAAACAGTTTCCATTAGCTCTTGGTACATTTTCCAGTACTAAAATAAGTGCTTTTTTCAGGTGTATCCTACACCAAAAATTGCTGTGCTATCTACCGGAGACGAACTTGTGGAGCCAACAACAGGGTGTCTAAATCGTGGCCAGGTACCATCTGCATTAGAGTATTACTGTGTGCGTAGTTTTTTGCAGCATTAGTACAAAATTAGAATCCAAATAAGTGGATTTTGGTGGGAGTTTTCCTTTTCCTTCAGGATATAATTTTTCTTTCAAAATCCTTACCTTGAGGAAGTACCACTTTTAGTGCAGGCATACAGATGGGATCTTGAAGATCTTTAGAATCATTATTAACAGGAAATGTTGTTTAAGTAATTGTGGAAATCATGATAAAAGCCAAATATTTAAATGGTTAATGGTTGAAACATTGAAGTGACAACAATGTTTTTCTTTAATCTGTACGGTTAACTGATAATTGTTATGTGTCATCATGAAGTTTGATACAGTTAACTGATAATTGGGCTGATTTAGCTCTCTGGCAGATCAGGGACTCTAACCGTGCAATGATACTAGCAGCAGCAATGCAACAGCAGTGCGAGGTTCTTGACCTTGGTATTGTGAGAGATGATAAAGAAGATCTTGAAAGAATGCTAGACAGTGCTGTTTCAACTGGAGTTAATATTCTTTTAACTTCTGGAGGTGTTTCCATGGGAGATAGGGATTTTGTCAAGCCATTACTTGAAAAGAGAGGGATAGTACATTTCAAGAAGGTGAATAAGCACGCAAATGTAGAGTCATAGATTGTGGTATACATGCATAGTTTGATAAGTTAAGCCTAGAAGATACTTATTATGATTCAGTTTTGGTAGTAGATTTTATGTTTTCAGCTTCATTGAGTAGAGAAGCAATTTTACCTTGGGTTTTTTGTTGCTTCAGGTCTGCATGAAACCAGGGAAACCTTTGACTTTTGCAACAATAAATTCAGAAACAGCAGAAAGTATGCTGGTAAATAAAATCCTTGCATTTGGGTTACCAGGAAATCCTGTGAGCTGTCTAGTTTGTTTTCATCTCTTCGTAGTCCCTACTATTCGCAAGCTTGGTGGATGGGCAAATCCCCAACTTTTGAGGTTACTGGAATTTCCGGAACGATACTCTTCTTACCTGCTTAATTTGGGATTCATCCATTCCTTAAAATGGAAACAGAGTGAAATTGTTCATTTTGACGATGATCCTCTTTCTTTTCTGTTCATTATGCAGAGTGCAAGCTCGTCTTCAGCAGTCAATAAGGACAGATTCAGTTAGACCAGAGTTTCATTCTGCTGTTATTAGATGGAAGGTCAATAATGGATCAGGCAACCCTGGGTGAGTGTTTTCTTTTAGGAGGCATTGTCTTTTTAGTTTTGTGATCACAGTACTTTGAGCATAGGGTTTTGAATGACCTCCTAGAATCTATTGGATGTTAATTCCTTTCAATTATATCATTAAATTCTTAGTTCATTTTGGTGACCCCACATTAGTTTTAATATCAGATTCTTTTCTAATGGTTATCAGCTTTGTTGCTGAGAGCACTGGGCTACAGAGGAGCAGCCGACTTTTAACTATGAGGTTGGCTAATGCTTTGTTGGAGTTGCCAGCAACAGGCAATGTAATTTCTGCAGGATCATCTGTATCAGCTCTCTTAATATCTGATATAAGCAGCACGGTTGCAAGTGAGAGTGCCACATCATCAGATCCCACTGTACTTTTGCAAGGAAGGTCATCTGCTGAAGTAAATGTGGATGGATCTTGGGCTCCTGAAGTTAGAGTAGCAATCCTTACAGTGAGTGATACTGTTGCCTCAGGGGCTGGGCCTGATAGAAGGTACGGTAGTAAATAGTACTTTTCAAGGGTGGTTGAGGTTCCTTGGTGCTTATAAGTAGTTTAAAGCACTCTACTTCATCTTCACATCCACAACATAAAAGAGCAGGATGCTTATTAGGTGTTTAAAAATAATTTTATGGTGGTGGAAAGTAAACACTTTAATCTTAAATTTTTAGGTTCTTATTTTTTAATCTAATAGATTGACATAATTTATTCTTTTACATCCTCTTAACTCAACGGTACATGAAATAAAGTAATAAAAAAATATTTTTAGTAATTTTTTTAATTTTCTTATGAAATGTAGCAGCTTATGTATTTAAAAAAAAAAAAAAATAGCAGCTTATTTTTAACAATCAACATTTTATTTAAACGGATAACTACTTCTTGTAAATGAGAGCTTACCTGCTTTAACTTGAAGCACCATATTGTTTAAAGTATGTTTATTTATTTATTTCTCTGGATAAATTTTAAGTATATTCATTTCAGCTATCCCAAAGAACTATTTCTTTTTTTTTTTTTCTAACAAGAAACAATTGCAAATTCCTCAATATGCTTCCATTTGATGAACATATGGATAAGCTTGTGATGTTCAGTTGCTGTTCTGAATTTTCTAACTCTAGGGAACTCGCATCTTTATTTTTATGTTGGTTTCTAAAAGTCTCTAAACTTCTTTTTCTTTTATTTTTCTGTATGTTCTTTAGGTTGAGTAATTATTTTAGAATATAATTATAGAAATTCGAGTTTAGAAAGCTAAAGCTGAAGTGCCCAAGTCCTCAAATATTAAGCTAAATCATATTAATTTAAATACTACTTGGTTGCCTTCTTTTGGGATCTAACAATTTCAGCCAATGATAGAAAGAAATTGATACAGGGAAGTAGTTTGATTTGCTAGCACTTTTTATTGTGGATTGTTGATTTTCTGTCCATCTGTTGTCAACTTTTTTTCTTTAGGTACTAATGGTATTGTTGGGATTTAAAATTCATTCTTCTATAATTTGTTCATCATCATTTCCAGAAAGGCTTGCTAACGGGAGAGAAGTTTGTCTGCTGGATCCTATTGACATGGTTTTCTTCAGTATGTTCATGCCTGTTTACCTATGAATAGAACGAACAAAAATTTTTGTGGTTATGTAATTTTCCAGTGATTTAGAATACTTATCTTTATTAGAAATGAAAATATAGGGACAATTTTTAAGCTAACTGCATCCTGAGACACCTTTTTGATTCATTTTTTTAAAATGATTACTGATGGATGCAGTAGTGGTAGTATGAATGTCCTTGAGTAGCATAGACTTTTGGATTATGGGTTCTGATGATGTCCTTTGCTAAGTAATAATGAATTCAGGTTCTCAAGTGAAAAAAAGCATCTAGATACACCTTTATGAATCATGGTTTCAAAAAGGTCACTTAGTTGATGCCAAAAGAAGCAAGCAAAGTTGATGTTGCTTCCTGTCAAAGTTAGATCTGGGAAGTGCTGAATGCTTTGCAACATTGTTTTGGAAATAGCTCGAGATAGTATCTAAATATCAGGGACTCTACTTTAGGTTCTGACTTTTTGTCCCTATGGACAGGAATCAAATTAGTGAGAGAGGACATGCTTTCAGTTTGTATATATTTTTTCTTTTTCTAGAATTTTTATCTTGTCTTAAGCAATTGATCTATTATCTACACTGTAGTCTTTTTTTTAAAAAAAACTTACATTGATAGGAAAAAACTTGATAAATTATCTATATTATAGTCTTTCTCTCTAAATAGAAAAGGAAATAATTTTGGAGAGAAAGGGAAAGATATAGAACAAGGGAAGATTTGGTATCCTCCAAAAAGAAAAAGAAAATAGAGAAAAATGACAAAACTGAATAGATTCAGTTGAACAATCTCTACAAGATAGATAAAGATCTTTAAACTGTCCTTGCACCTTAACCCAAAGACACCAGAAAAGAGAACTTATGCCAAGTGATCGAGAAAGGGGAGAATGATCTAAGAAGTCTGACATCCCTCTCCAACCAAGTCATCACAAACTAACAAAAATAACCATACGCCATATAGCCTTTACCTCTTTTCTCTTACTAACACGAGGAGGAGAAGCCCAAGAAAGACTAAACCCCGAACCGAGGGCAAATCATAATGTAGAAACAGGTGACTATGAGATTCTGCCGCATTAGAGTACATATCATACATCCTAGAGGGAAGAGAGCATGATTCATCATGTGAGGTTAAAGCAAATAGTTAGTATTAAACCTCACAAAACTGGAGCTCAAACAAGAGCCATAACCTTGGAGGAAGTAAAGACCTTCTAGAAAATCTTAGAAAAAACATCATTACAACTGGAGTGATAATGAAGTAGGAAGGTAAAAGAGGACTTGCAAGTAAAAAGGCTGAAGAATTCAAAGACCAAAATCTATGAAGAAATGACAACTGAATTGAGGAGGTGAATCAAAGAAATGACTACTGATTTGAGGAGGTGAATCAAAGAAATCATATCATTGGCTTCAAGATCATTAAGATTTCTAAAGAAAAATTCCATGAGCAATTAACTGTAAGACAGTAAAAAAAAAAAGTGAAATGGCAATATTATGACCTTGGGACAGATTACAGATGAGCGAGAAGTGGTGATTCAGCAGATAGGGAGAAGTATCACCTGGTAGGTGCGGAATGGAGTTAAAAAGCCTATGTGCCAGAAAGTTTTGGGTTTGAGATCTTTTGTGGAGGTGAATACCTTACAGGAGAAGTGACTTTGGAGATTCATGAATGAAAATGGTAGTATTTGATAGAGGGTAATTGAGGCAAAGTTTGGGACCGTGGATAAGAGGGTGATATACCAAACTATCGGTTAGACCCATGGAAAGGGGATGTGAAAAAAGTTATTCACGGGCAAGAATAATTTTTAGGATTATATCAGTTGGAGGGTTGTCACCGGGGACACGATTAGTTTTTGGCATGATACTTGGTTAAGAGGGAGGTCACTCAAAAAATAGTTTTCTAGATCTACACTATTGTCGATACAAGAATATTTCGATCTATGAGTCGTATAGAGCCACCAAGAGAGAAGGAGAGTGGCATATGGAAGTCATGAGAAATCTCATAATTAGGAAGTAAATAACTATGGTGACTCTACTCGAACACTTTTCTACGGCTACA